CCCCCCCCCACCCAAAAGTCGAGTAAAATAAATACATCACCTAACACCAACAGCCTCCTAATCTCAGCCATGGCCTCGGTAACTGAGTCCCTCTCGTTCGGCATCACAGCATCCACAACATATGAAACGTCGCCGTACGCATTGGCCCGGAAATTCTCAACCCTGGATCATCTCACCCGCGGCCGTGTGGGCTGGAATATCGTGACTTCTTTCCTTGATAGTGCGGCGAAGGCCTACGGGATGGACGAACAGATTCCGCACGACGAGAGATATGCGCGAGCAGATGAGTACATGGAGCTCGCGTATAAGCTTTGGGAGGGGACGTGGCGCGATGGGGCTGTTGTCAAGGATGCCAAGTCGGGGGTCTATAGTGATCCTAGTCAGGTGCGGGCGATTGAGCATCATGGGAAGTATTTTAAGAGCACGGCGGCGAGTCAGTTGCCGGCTTCAAGGCAGAGGACGCCGTTACTCTTTCAGGCGGGGGCTTCGTCGTGAGTTTTACCTTCGTCCTTTCTCTCTTGCTTGGTTTGCGCGGGGTTAAACGCGTATGGGGGTATTTAGGGCCGGGAAGAAATTTGCGGCTAAGCATTCGGAGGTTATGTTTTTGCCTGGTCTTGAACCGGAGAAAACTAGGGCTGTTGTTGAGGATATGCGGTACGTTCCTTGCCTCACCCTTTTATCCTACGGAATGCTAACGGAGCACAGGATACATCTCGCCGAAGTAGGCCGCCCGATGGATAGCATCAAGTTCATTGCAGGCATCCTGGTAATCGTCGACGAAACAGACGAAAAGGCCCAGACCAAATATGAAGAGTACCTAGCCCAATCCGACCTCGACGGAGTGGCAACCCTTTTCGGCGGCTGGACCAGCAACGATCTGTCCAAGTTCGATGACGACGAAGACTTCTCTTTCACCGCCGTTGGTGGGATACAGTCTATGATCTCGAGTTGGTCGAAGACCGTCCCAAACTCCAACGGGCTGAAGTGGACCAAGCGGCGGGTTCTCCAGGAATTGGCGCTAGGCGGTGCGCATCCTCGCGCGATTGGTTCGCCGAGTACTGTTGCCGATATTTTGCAGAAATGGGTTGACGTGGCGGGGGTTGATGGGTTTAATTTCTCGTATGCTGTTTCGCCGGGGACCTTTGAGGATATGATCGAGTATTTGTTTCCTGAGCTGAGACGGCGGGGTGTGATTTGGGAGGAGTACGAGGTTAAGGGTGGGTCGGCAAGAGATAATTATTTCCAGGACGGACTTGGGCCGAGGTTGCGTGAGGGTCATCCAGGCAGGGAATATACGTGGAACTGAAAGGTTACATTTTGATGTCCCGTAACTAGGCCACAAGAGAGTATGCCTTATTCTACTTACCTCTGAAGGTATATTGCCCGGTAGCCATTTTGCAGTGCCCGTTTGAATCCTGAAACTGTGAACTAGTATAAGGCTGCTAGCGAACAAATTAGCGGTTTCGTCGTTCAAAACCATGAGGCTACCGACGCTTATGAAGTATGTATAGATTGAATATAGACAATAAACATACATTGATCTAACACAGACGATTTCGTTGAGGTTCGCGTCATATCGAATTTCAGATATTCTAATTTTTTCCAAAAAACTAAAGTCGCAATTGATAGGATATGTAACTCGCTAAATAACCCACCATCTAGACAAGGCAAAGAGTGAGATGCAAAGTGAAGTGAGAAGATAATGCGAAAGACTGTGTATATTTCCCACATCGCTCGACTGAAACAATTCAATGTCGCGTGAATGAAGCCCATTGTCATATCCAACATTATATCCGACACGAAATTCTACGCTGATCATGGTGGGTGCGTATCTCATGCCTCCCGCCCCTATCAAATGAAATTTGGTCGAGTATTAGAGGGGGTGCCTGATGCCAGACCCTGGTGGAGAGTCTCGCCCGCCGCTATGGATGAAGGTCGTGTCATCGGCTGAGCAGTGCCTTGGTAGGCGATCGACGACAAATCCGTACGGGATTGGGTAGCAAACATCATAGAAGAACGGTCAAGGTTGACCTCACTTTGTGACTTCGGATTTTCGCTTAACGGCACCATAGAATAATTTGATCTCGCATCAGCCGCCGCCTTGGTCGCTGCGATCTTGCGATTTCTGCGCGAACTCTGGAGACAGTGGATGATGGCGTACCCGACGAAGATAGAACCCACGATACTGAAAGTTATGATAGCAGCCACTGCTCCACGGTGATTATACTCTCGCATTTCAGCACTGATAGTGCTTGTCGCAGTGGATGTCGAGCTGGTTTTCGAGGCAGTAGATGTGCTCTTTGTGGAGGTGGTCGACGCGCTTGTCGTAGACTGTGAAGTGGAGGAGGTTGTGGAGGTTGTTGAACTTGTAGTACTTGTAGAGCTAGTTGTACTCGAGGTCGACGTAGTTGAAGACTCAGTTGAGGTGGTTGAAGCCTCGGTAGTTGTTGACGCTGAGGTGGTTTCGGCAGCTGTGGTGGTCGCATCCTGCGTGGTCACCTCGGTCGCACTCGCTGTAGCCTCTTCAGTTGCACTGGAAGTTTCCTCCGCCGTAGTAGCTGCATCCTCTTCTGCAGTCGAAGCTCGTTTTTGGAGAATCCAGCTGCGATCGTTCCTTGGATGGCTATTGTCTTCTAATGTTGCGCGTGTCTGCTCAGCGAGGGGTGAGGATTCGGTGGAAGGCCATCTTGGGAGCACTTCCGCGGTGGGTTCAGCCTGTGCAGCGACAACCGAGAAGAGTGTCCCGAGCAGGGCCAATGACTGTATTCGCATAATTATTGATAGTCGCAAAGAGTGTGTTAAGGGGGTGGAGAGAGGATCACAAGGATATCCGGCGGTGGGTTAACCAGGCAAAAGTTTGCAGGGCTGATATGATCAAACATGCTTCATATACGGACGTGCTGTAGTGAACGATTCTTAATTACTTCGTCTTCGGTTCCTGTCGTCGTATGTACGTGCTCCCAAGTTCAAGCGACGTTAGGGCTGACAGTTATTTTTATAGCCGGCAGACCGCTGATTGGGCGGACGGGTGGGAGTGGAGTGCGGCAGCCACGCGGCTTCAGATCCTTTTCTTTCTTTCTTTCTTTCGGTCTTTATTCCGTTAAGCTACACTGCATGGTGTCTGGTTTGATCAGCGAGGAGATGATCTGCGCTAATCTCCTAAGCCGGCATGACTTCCTCAGACCAAATGTACTGAACCGTGACTCATGTGTGCGCAGCAGGGACGCATCTTTCAGTATCCCCGAGACTTCACACGCGGATAAGGAAAAGGATTTAGCCCAGGAACCACAAATCATGCTTCGATCCACCCGCATTCCCCGCTAAAATGTTCCTTGCTGGCGAATGCTGGCAGTTTCAACGGTCGATCTTCTACTAGTTTACACTGGTTCCCACTAGTTGAAACCCAGCCACGTCGTAAATTAATCACAAACTCCGAGCCCAAGTAAAGGTCAATTTTGCTGGCTTAGGATAAGAGTGGGGAGTTTATCACGATGAAGAACTGCGCCTTGCACATCCAGAAGCTGCGGTGGAAAGGCCTCCGAGGGAGATGTGCCATTAATATACACCCTTGCCCTCTCCAAGGCGAAGTCTGCTATATTAATGTACGGAGCAAGTATTCCGCTGAGTAATGCGTGTCATGTTAATCATGGTCTCGGAAAACTGATATACAATAGGTGTATTATGGAATGAATATTTTTATCCCAATCCCCTTGTGGTGAACGTGCCTCGAGATCGACAGAATTCTCGCAGCCGTCGGATCATCCTTGACTATAAAAATAGCCTATTATAATTCATCTATCACGCCAGTACTGTTGAATGTGCCCTAGCTATGGTGCTTACATCTGATTAGCTAGCTGCACTGACTCCATGCATGAACCTAAGGATCGCCCATTTCCCTGCAGTGCATGTTCAGCCTGCTCCGGTACCCACATGTCCTACATTGGCGTATATAAATAGTAGACAGGTTCCACGACAGACATGTGTAACCCTTCCAGAAATTCCAAGATACCGATGTGTAGACTTTAGTAGTCTAGGCTGATATGTTAGGAAATCTGGTCCTTAAAATGGTTTTTAGAGAGTCGGTGATAATGCGCATACTCGTCCTAGGAAGCAAGGAGCAGAGCCAATATCTTTTCAAATGCTTCAGCGTTACTTCCGGTGCGTATTTATTCTTTTTCTTTGTTTGAGGCAACGTGGCATGTATCCGTGCTATAGGTTATCAGCTTTGTGGCTACAAATACTAGTTATGTCGTTATGTCCCCTTTGGTAAGGATGCCGAGGGCGCACCACCATATATTGTTTTAGCCTAGGAGACAGTTAGAATATACCTAGTATGGTCGTTATGCCAGATGTTATAATATGACGCCAAATTGCTTATATATCCCTATAGGACGGAGTCTTATCATTTGGCTGCTTATCCGAAGTCTTGCATTAGTCTGTGTGCTTTTTGTCATTGTCTTGATCTACACTGCTATGCTTGGTATGATGCAAGTATTTAACTCTTAGCAGCGACAGGATGATAAAACGAGGTAGAAGCAAGGGGGTGTGCTAGTCAGTCCAAGCGTGATTTCCGATGTGGTATCAATAATATCATAAATTGCCAATTCCAACCAGCTGCATCCCCAACGCGGCGTCATTGTTTCTGCTACTTACCGACAGTACAATGGAGAGCAGCTGAATCGACCTGGATGCCCTCTTGTATCCTCCCTTGCGTCGTTTGTCAAATCCGAAAATGCTGGCTGTGACTAAAACATACTGTTGCGCTTCATACTCAGCAACTGATCACCCTATATTCATGCACAGGAAATAGGGGCAAGACGCCTAAACGTGCCATGCGCTCTTCATTGTATTCATGACCTATCACATCCGCATCAGTCCATCTATATAGGGCCCGATCGCAAGACACTGTATAAGGGAACGCCAATAAAATGTGGAGCCTTCAATTCTAGAATAGGTCTTATCTACGTTCCCAGCCACACGCATTTTAGCCTTGACTCCAAGGAAACCCCACACATCCATTTCTTTCTCCTTCACCCGCAAAATTGTATCTTATCCTGATAGTGTCCCCGCTAAATCCCTCGACTATTTATCCTAGTCGTAGTACCTCTCCAAGAAGCCCCAGGATCATTTACCTTCACCCAAAACTCTACCTCAATCCTCACCAATCTCACAATTCCACTTCCCACAATGACAATATCCACGTCCCCAAAATCCCCCCTGTCCCTCGAACCAGCAACCCTAAAAGATATCCCCGCCCTAACCGAACTCTGGTACAACGCCTTCCGCAACTCCCCCATAATAGCCATCTGGCCCGACACCCCAGGCGTCCACCAATGGTGGAACGAAGCCAACACCCACGACATGCTCCACAAACCGGGCGAAAAGTACCTGAAGATCGTGGATACACAAACCAGGCGCATCGCTGCATACGCCAAGTGGTCTCTTGAATCGGCGGAAGAACGCGGGCGACGATTCCCTGCCTGGCACTCGGACATGAACGCTCAGGGTAATGAGGAGTTTTTGGAAAACATGGAGACTGGGCGGGATAGACTTGTTGGGGGGAGAAAGAATTTCTGTAAATGATTTAATCTCGTTTCGGAGTTAGTTTGAGTGCTTGCTGATGTCGTGGGTAGATTTGGATATGATTGCGACGCATACGGAGTACCGCAAGATGGGTGCGGCGAGGATGTTGATCGAGTGGGGCTGTGCGGTGGCGGATCGAGAGGGTGCAGCGGTTTATATTGATGCTAGTCAGCAGGGAAGGCCGGTTTATGAAAAGTTTGGATTTGTAGATTTCAGTGATGAGAGGAGTGCTGCTGCTGGTTTGGCGTCTATGGTGAGGGAGCCGATGGTGTAAGAGTGAGCCGACTTCTTCCGTTTAGCTTTCTTTTGATTTTGAAGCGCGATAGCCGGTATTTGGGAGTGAGCTAGGCTAATCCGAGTAGTCTGTTCTGTGGTCCGGTCGAGGCCACTACACGTTGAATAGATTTACAGGCTAGGAACTGGCCGAGGATGAGAGCAGGGGTATATTTCTGGACCGTTTCCTGACAGAAAAATCAGGCATTATGGAACACATCTTGGAATCCCGGTCGAACGAGAATACCGGCGGTAGAATGATTGCAAGGCGCATCTTGGAGTTGCAACTTCTTAGCTGAGACATTCTTAGACACCAATGCATAGGAGTGCATAATACATCCTGTTTCTCTCCTCACCATTCAAGAACTGAAGGCAATGGCGTAGGACCACATATTATCAGTATCCACTTGCCCTACTATGAGAAACAGACTGTGCCGATGTTGGACACGTAGACGTCCAAGCGACAGAGCCGGAAAGCTGTATACATAGATAGTTCTTGCGTAACCAGTGGAGATGAATCATTACAAGTCATATGAGTGGTCGTTCTATTGGTTGTTTCTATTTAGTGTAGACTATCCAAGCTTACCTTAATCCCAAGAAGACCAATAACGCGACACTACAGTCTCACCAAAGAGATGCCCAGGCACCCGAATTTCGTATTTGTTTGAAGGTTGGGCACGATCTTAATCCTAAACTGGTCTTTATAATGCGGCTTGGACAGGAGTGTAGTTTTAGAAGAGATGCTACTTGTTAGATTCTACCCTACATATTTGCGCGCAACAATCAGGCATGAACGGCACCAGTGCAGGGCTTCGAGCGAGCCCTACCCATCCGCACGGATGGGCAACAGTTGTCATACAGTGATAGGACAGACTTACACCGCTAAAAAGTATCGTTATCCAAATCTTGCTCCAGAGATCTGGGTGGCATGTGCGCTTCAAAAACCCGATCTGTACCTCTTGCACGCTAACTCATGTGATGCGCATTTCCGAACCGAATCCGCCAATGCAAGTCGTTGCATGACTCGCAGCACTCTATTAAGCTGCGAACTCAATCAATGAGCTTAATTCCCCGCCCTCCTAATCCACAGTTCGGGATTTTCATGTTGGAAGATGATAAAACTTTGTAGCCTCAGCTGACAAGCCTATTGGGCAGGTTGATGTCTCCTACCTGGCATATTTTGCGACCTAAATCTTCACCGCTAGGTTTTGGTCTTTGACCATGTCGGAACTATGGAGGCTTGACCAAGGGGGAAGGTAGGGGAGAGACTGGCTGCAACAAGCAGCCCAGGGAGATAAATAGGCTCACTATTTTCTGTACTCTGTCACAATGGGACTACTATCGTCTCAAAGTCTTTCTTTTCCTGATCATACTCCGTGCATTTGTCGGTCATCAAGCCTCGTTTCGCTATGTTCAGCAACGCAATGGAACCGATCAATATGTCCGCTGAGGTCGACAATAATCTTGACATCATTGATGAATTTATGAGCATGTACAACCTGGAAAGAACGGAGTACTCGAAGGCAGCGAAGAGGGCCAAAAAGCTCTGCGAAGACGCTCTCCGCCGGGAATCTGTGGAATGCCTCGTTACCTGCAGAGCGAAAGAGCCAGACAGCCTCAGGACAAAGCTGGTGACAAGGCAGAAAGCCCGTCTGGCAAAGGCAAATGGAACCGCGAACGAAAATAACGGCTACCGAAGCATTGAAGATATCAAAAGCGACATCCCAGACCTGGCTGGAGTTCGTATTGCACTTTACATCCCTCGAAAGAAAGAACAAGTGAAGAAGATCCTACAGAGAGAATTTGCAGTGCAATGGAATCTGTCCCTTGGAGACAACGACAACCAAACATGCGATGCTCGCTCATTTCCAGGGTATTGTGCAGACCATTATCGTGTGTTTTTCCGGGAAGATATGGACGAGAATGATGGCTCAGGCAAGAAAATGATCGAGATACAAGTGGTATCGGTCCTGCGACATGCTTGGGCTGAGGTTCAGCATGACTTGGTGTATAAACAGCTTGTCTCCACTACGAGAGAAGAAATTCGGATGTTAGATGCGCTGAGCAGTATGATCTACTCGGGCGATTGCGTTCTGGACCACCTATTTGACAGCCAGTCTGCCCGCAATCAATCTGATGGCACACCGTTTAAATCAGTCTACCAGCTAGGCTCCTTATTATCCCAGTGGATTGAAAGATTTGCCGGGCGCAGGGATGAAACCCTCGGAGACGTTGAGTCGCTGTGGAAGTTACTTATGATAATCGGACTGGATAGCCCCAAGCAGCTCTGGGATGTATTGAGTCACTTGGATATCTCGGTCTCACAGACAAGTGACTATACTATACTGTCCCATGAGTACGACCCTCTTCAACTGAGTATCACTAACTACGTTATGCATCGCATAATCCGGTCTTCAGTTGGTCAGTGCAGGGTCGAAAGGGTTAAACACACCAGGCGGACCACAGACAACGAGAATAAGTATAAGCTTTGTGTGGTGGCTAATGCTTTCATACGACTCGACCACTTTTTCTCACGTCAGGCTGAATGGTTTCATGTTTTCTACGAAGATACCTCGGACAAACATAAGGTAGAAATTAAATGGTTGTCTTCAGGCAAACCGCAGCAATTTTACAACGGAAGACTATCACTCAATGTAGCCGACCAGGAAGTACTAGATGGCCTGTGGCTATCCCTTGAGGGTCACGATAAGGAACCGATCAAATTTGCTTTCAACCTTTCTCTGCTAGAGGTGACAGAAAATTCACATATAGATTGGACTTTGTTGGACAGATCTCTATCTTTTCCGACACGCGCAATATTCTTTGCACAACGAAGTCATCTCAATCCTCGTGAGCTCCGTTGAGGTTAATTTTCTTTTACGAAGAGCATTACTTACGAGACACTTTCAGTTCTATCATATTTCTGCCTGGTATGCGTTTGATTATTGTCCTTTTTTCACTCGGTTCATTCATCGCAATGATTTAGGCTGTTGGGGAGCTTTGATTCTAGAAGCGAATGTGTCACCAGTGGGAAATAGGTTTTACTTTGTCCCAGCTTCAGGAAAAAGAATTGAGAAGTAGAAATTTTGTCTAAGTTGTTTAACAAGTTGGTGCGTGGCCTTGAAAAGGTGTGTACCATGCCCACTAGTGTTCGTCGAGGTATGATGTGAAACGTAGGTGGCTAGAAGAAAACGAAAAGAGACAACAAAACGAGGTCTGTTTCTACATAGAGTGTACTTCCACGCACCCTTTTCATCCTAGCTTTAGATGCTGAGGGCTTTGTCTCCATGCTTCACTTCTAAAAATACGTTAGCGACTGGTTTTCTCTATCAAGTACTTAGGTTGTGCAGCTATAGTTTGTATCCTATCTTTCTTATTAAGGGTTAGAGTTATCTCATTGTCCATTATAAGAATAGCATTTGATGTTTTCTTTTCTTCTTCAATTAATTCTACTTTATTTGTACGCATTTTTTGCTCTCACTCCGGCGAAATCTTTGCCAGGCGATCGCCAACGTTGAGAGATCAGAGGCTTTGATGAAACCACAGCCTCCTTTCCATGATACATTCTATACTAACCGGTTACCTCATAATGATATGAAGAATCTCGCAGTCTAAAACCTGGTCTAGGGCCATGTGTGTTATACCCAGCTTATCATGGAATAACAGCATTCGCGCAATAGATACATCATTACACATACCTTGCAAAGCTCCGCCAATCTATGTTGCAGCGATGATACTATATAGCCGAATTCGTATACGTTACGCATTCAGATAGATTGGCTTTTGGTTAGATTATTATTTATATTTATACCATCATACTGGAATAATCGTAAGGGGAAACCCGCAACATCGATCAGATCTCTTGCACCATGGCGTATTGGCAGGTTAACTTCAATACTCCTATTATACCGTCAAAAGTCTCCCGTAGATAGTCGATTGTAACATATATTACGTCGATACCTGCAGGTTGAACCTCACCTTTCGCGAGAGTGTCTATGCTATCATCATGCAAACGATAGCTGGAGCTTGCTTGTCATTGTTGAGGAAAATATGGTTTTAAGCTTACTAACTACCCCTGCCAAATTACTCAACTACCCTTTATATCTCCCACCATCGGTCTTCACCGGCTGCCAGCTGCTGACTGCCAGACTTGGTTTGGCGAATGGTTAATCCCCGGCCGAGAATTGCTTGAGAGCATTGGATAACTGGCCCCAAGAGGAATATTTATCCGGAACGGTATGCCCACGAGTCCTATAAATACCGCACGAGCTGATATGGTATCACAAGCCTCGAACCTCAACCCTCAGGCAGCCAAGGCTCTCGACCTGAGTAGCCGGACTAAGTTTAGTGTGCAGCGATATCACTGTTCCACACTAGAAGAGAATCTGTATCAATTGTTACTGAATAGAGGAAGTGCATCATAGAAGAAAATTTCTCATTTGCGGCTGAATGAGGAAGTCAGGCAGAGGTACCCATCAATATAATCCACAAAGGACGGCGCCCAATACTTTCCTGAACCATCTGTTCTAAGGCTTTTCTATCCGGAGGCCTTACCCGGCCCGCGAAATTAGAATAATTTCTCCTCTTACTAGTAAAATATGTGGGTATGAAAAAGGAGATTAGACGTTGCCTCGGAGAAATAGGATGTGACCCACTATTATTTCCAAGGATATATGCGCGTTAACGTTTGGATGTAAATGCTACGACAGTGGGTAGTCGGCGGTGTGACAACCCTAAGCAGCCTCACTTTGAAATGAACCAAAAATGTATCATCGAACTGAAAGGAATTTTGTGAATTTTGGGATCATGGTTGCCTTCAAGGCTTAATTTGCAATGATTCTGTCGATCTCATCCTTACCTAGCTTAGTGTCAATGATCAAAGCCACGACAGGAACCGTGGGTAATATGGTCACCATGCTCGTGTCGCGGCACCACTGAGATTCAGAATTTGCTCAGTACTTTGTAAGGGCCTCCTCGGAGAGTTCCATCCGTCTTGATCTGCAAACCACCAGAAGTACTAGCCCACAGTACCTGACAGCTAGGGCTCAGCCATATTTAATAATGAACGGGAATATGCAAAGCGGCTATCCATTATGAAGAACCGCGTTTTACGTATTAGAAATAATATCTAAATGATCACACTCTCCCCTCTGCCCACACTCTCTCTATTACTTCCTATGTTCTCTGTCACACCGCGCTTTCCGAGGCTTCGTCGGGGGTGAGCCGAAATGGAAGGTTGACTCAGAGCAGGGAACAGGCGATAGGGAAAGATAAATAAGCGATAAGTAAACAAAGCTCTCCTTCAAATCAATTCGCCCAAGGAATCCTCTGTTAGAATCCTAGGCAACGGCCATCTTTGTGACCTGTCGAATCCAACCTTCACCACAGCTACAGGTCAGGAGCCGAGCCGAAGCCAATACGAAGGGATCCGGAGATTTGATCTCCAAACCCGGCATCCAGAACATTGTTCTGCACGAAAAGTTCCAGACTCGGACTGTAACTCTACGCATATAGATTTTCGTGGAGTACTTTTGTCTGCCATCTTTGCCAACCCTGAAGTTGACGTTCGTGATTGACTCAACGTAGCGCTGATCACAATTAGTGCCCTAGCTCAAGGCTTAATAGACTGAATTAATTCAGATTTGTTGGATTGTTGAGAGATTTGGAATGCACAAAGCGGTTGTCTCTCCAAAGCACTGTCCATGCCAAGATAAGATCCCTGTCTTAGAATCTTCGTCTTTTTGTCAGAGAAATTCCGCAGAGCAATTTTACAGAGGAAGATGGAGCCTTTGGTGTGTCTATAAGAAGAGACATAGAACCAACTGAAGAGAAAAGGCCACGATTATATTTCCTTGCAAGAGTACTGGGCCATATATAATACAGCTATCTACAATTTCGCTATGCACAGTCAACCCGACCTTCAAAGAAACTCATCAGTCTCCAAGGATGTACCGCAACAGAGGCAAGAGAGTCACGGTATGTCTGCAGTTTACCTATCTTGGTTTCTCTTCCCAACTGTTCAAAAGCAACTGTGTCTTGTGAAATACTTTGTCCGCTACTAACAATGCATTCTCTCAAGTGTTTACCCCACAAGACACCCTCCGCATCCTACAAGTGTTGCACGGCAATGAAGACGCCCTGCCAGAGAGCAGTAGAAATCAAGTCCACGACAGCTGTGCTCTAGTCGAAGAGCATGACTACTTTGGCAGCGCCCGAGACGATCATGTGATTGGATTTCTCTCATTCATTGCGACCTGTCCGAGGATAGACAATTTGGGCCTTGCATGGGAGCAGTATAGGTCGAGCGAATTTTGGGCTGGAGCTTAGACAATAAAGGGCGACAATGATGGATAGAGCTATAGGCCAATTGACTTCCTTGTGTCTGGTCTGCTTTTTAATTTCTGGCATTCACACCCTAGCATGTTTTGTCAGCGCCATTCTACCTGTACTGCTTTCTATTCTTTACTTTTCAAGTTAGGGCTATATATATTGTATGTCACCGACTCTTGCCTATCAACCCTTCCTAATACTACTAAACGCATTGCGTAAGAATGAACTAGAGCGCTACCAGGTACAATTCCCCCCCCCAACCCTCTCCCCCTTTTTCTTCAATAGTTGTTCGTTGATACCCAAGCCACTCCCACCTACAACTTCAAAGCCCCTCCAATAACTATCTGCCCATTATCCTCCGGCCACCTAACGATGTCTTCCTCCACCCCATAATCTTCCTCATCCTCATCGCCCTCCACAACAAAAAAATCCCTAACAACAACCTCCCCTTTCAAGGCCCTCTCCCAAACCTCCGGAAGACAAGTCTCCGGACTCAAAACATAACACCGGGGCTCCGGCGCAGCTGGCACAACATTCTTAATATGCCACGTATCCCTCGGCCCCCTTGTCTTTAAATCCTCCGTAACCTCATAAAACCCCGTCGCAATATCCCGATTAAATGTAGCCCGCCTGAAGATCTCATACGCCGCGACGGGCTGATACGACGGCACCTCGTGGCCCGCCTGGTACACCCGCGTGAAGCTATAATTGCCCACCTGCCGTGTCATGCCCTGGATTCCATCCTGCGTGATGAGCGGGGAGTAGCCGGCATCGGAGAACTCCGCGGCACGGGAGTACGGGATCGCGAGGCTGGCGAGCTCGCCGCCCACCCAGTTGCAGGCGTAGTCGCGGTCGCCGTACATCATGTGGACCTTTACACCGCTGTCGAGGAGGTAGGCGATGGAGTCGAGGAAGCCGCCACGGTCGATGCTAAGTTTATTAGTGGGGGCTGTGATTGGGGATATTTGGGGGTTTTGCATACTCATAAGTTTTTTGGAATTCATCCCCGACGACGGGGGAGGCGTAGGTGTAGTTTACTGGGACACCGAGGGCTTGAAGGACGGATTCTTGGGTTAGGTAGCCCCGCATGTCTGAGTATCTGGTTAGGGCTGGAGCCAGATGTAGAGGAGCTGTCGGTGGTGGGACTTACGGTGTGCTGGGAAAGGGTCGTTTTTGGGATGGGCAATATCGTACCAGCCGCGCTATACCACCGGATTGAACGATCAGCAAATAAACTCATAGATCGATGATCTAGACACGTACGTTTGTCATGAAGTAATTGGCAATGCCTCCCTCACACTCGGAGCCAACAGTGCCGCATGTTTCGGATATGCTCTTTTGCGTTTTGCTAGCAGATACTTCGGAGTCTTTGAGGGCTTCTTGACAAGCTTTGATCTGGTCCCGACAGCCTCCCGGGCGCCGCCAGTCGTGGATTAGAGACTCATAGAGGGTTTGGTTGAATATTTCAATACCATATGTCTGTATCAAGTTAGCGAATAGAACGAATATGCACGTGCCTTTCCGTTTCATTTATTTCACGGCGAACAACATCAGTAGCAACATACATTGTTATAGGCCAGAGTAATGTAGGATTCGTTCTGGATTACGGCATCAATCAGCCCATTCACAATACCCAAGGTATCTAGATGTAGGTATTGCGCCCCCTCTTCCGCGGTTCCGTTAGCAATCCTCTCATTCTGCTCCTGGAAGAAGCGGAAGACCGCTGGACCATAATGGCCCCCATAGCTCTCAGCCCAGAGAGAGATATGATCATCGACAGGTTTATAATGGGGGAACTCGAAGAACCAGGTTTGAGCGAAATGCCATAGAGCGTGGGCTGCACGCGCACTAGTATTGGCGGTATTAGAAGGTTCCTGGCTCGCAAAGGTACCTACGCGATGCGTAAGGTTCGAATCGGGGATCTCCACAGAGAAGTCCCCGGGAACGATTTTATTGTTCTCCTCGTTGTAATCCAGGACCATGGTACCGTTCGTCGCAACATCATAGGAGAAGCCGACTTGCGTAGGTTGGTCCAGGAATAAGAGGTTGACTTCATTGTTCCAGCTCCAAGGGTTGAGGATGGTCGTTTTCGAATCCGATGCCACACTGCAAGGGCCCAATTCTTCGAGAAGGCCCATGATCGAGCTGCCGCCGGGACCGCCATTGAGCCAAATCGCGAGGGGGGCATTTTCGGGGTCTTTGCGCGCTTCAAAGAACCAGAAAAACCTATTTGAAGTCTGTTACAACACCTGAACGTGCATCACGTATAAAGGAGGGGTGTGGGGGGGAGGGGCTGGAAATGTACGTGTTGATAGGATAGTCCTGCGAGTCTCCTGTGCTGTCGTCGAGAAAGCCCGGAGGGAGGTGGACATAGCCCGAGTACGAGCGGACGCCGGGTGTTGTTTCACATATTCCAGGCTGGCAATTAGTCAATTGCTCAAATGCCTCGTGCAGCCTACTCACCTCTTTAAATGAGATGGTCACATTTTCATGCAGCTTGGATTTGATCAAATTTAACCCCTCCGGCTGGGGAGGGAACTGCGCTGCGACCGCGCCTAACAGGCCAGCAAATGCCAGACTGTGCCGCATGACGATATCCACTAGCAAATCTAGTACACTCAATGTGCACAGGCTGCAGCTTTGTTTTGGAACGATCACTGCGAATTTATTTGACCTAGGGAAGAGGCTACAGATAAGTTTTCTGTCATATGTGTCGATAAGCCCTAGTTCGGAGTCCGCCGGGGCTCGTTCAAATATTTAGAAACCACCAACCAGCTGGGATGTCTTAATCAAGTCCTGTCAGCTCTTTGTTCCTCCCGCTATACTTCATTAAGTCTAGAAAATAACAGCTACAGGCCACGCCATCCAGTCGGGTTATACCCTGAGCCAGGCAGCCATTTGCCGTGACTCCTTTATCTCGAAGGGCGACTTATTTGGTTCTGGCACTCAATAAATTTACACAACAGCTTCAATATCTTCGATATTTATCCTACAATGTCGGTCTGTATTCTTAATTGCGCCATTGGCTGAACTTGTGGCTTCACCCGTCAAATCCTCCACACTGTAATGTTCCTGAATAACGTCATGAGAATAGGCCAAAATGAGGTCAAATGTAGTTATATGTGCTTTGTTAGTCACTATTATTGATAATAACTAAGTGGTATACCTATGTATATACTATGTAGATGGCCTTTATTCCTCGTAAAAACTCACACACAGTGGTGCTAGTCAATCGGGAGTGTTCTTTCTAATTCAACACGTAAATCAATCCGCGAAAGATTATAGCACTCAGCATACGATCCGGGGAAGGGGTATGCATTTATAAACAAATTGAATACAGGTTTCGCGGCAATATGCTCACTAAGAGCTGCGGAACAAGCCCGATTGTCCCTAGTTTTGCGACACCATGTTAGGCTCGAAGCAACCTGTTCCGGAGTACAACACGTCCTTGCGAAAGCACACACTTGTATGTGAGTTGTATATCGATCTCTTACCGGTATGGCCCGCGGTGACAATTACTCGCCTCCACACGCTACAAACACAATTCAGTCCATATTTACTCCCTAAATTCGAGCTCGTCCTGCTATGTCTCTGTATTATCTATTGCTTATGAGAGTGCTTCACTAATTAATTGGCCGGATGGTGTAGTTGGTTATCACGTATGCTTAACACGCATAAGGTCCTGGGATCGAGCCCCAGTCTGGTCATTCTTTTTTGCTCCTTGCCGAGTGTTTTCCCAGCGCTTTTCTCTTCCCCTTCCCCCCTTTACTTTTTCTTTCTGCTCTTATGCTTCTGTACTCCGTACTAGGCGTGGATTCCAAGACAAAAGATCGGACTAAACCGGGAATACCTCTGAGGAATATTAGTCGTTCAATTTCTCCCGTGATTACTGGGTCTTGGCATTCACGTATAATAACGGATATTATAGCGATCTGACTGGAATCGCAGCCCGGCGGAGTTCATCAAGTCAACTGCGCCCCCACAGATCCACATTATCGCTTGCTAAATCCTATAGCAGTATGGCTTACCACCCTCATTTTGCAACCTTTCTCTTCAGTTGACTACTTCATCATACAACCATTCTATTAACAATAATCCTTGGACCTCTCGACCAAGCATATCTTTGGAATCTAGATATACCAAATTTATGCGGGATCGTAATCGATGGATACCCTATCAAGAAATGCAGAATGAAAACACGAAAACAATTTGCTTTCTGTCGAGTTTGCACGGCACGTTCCAGATGGGAGACTTACTCATGCGGAGATTCAGATTTATCTCCTGCGCCATCGGAAGGACCCCATATCCGCTGTCGCAGGAGCAAGTTAATGGATACAGAGCATCAAGCATCAGCTAGAGAGAAGATGAACGAGGGTGGATTTGAGGCCATCTATGGCATAAGGACTGAGAGTGAAGGCCTTCTGGGCCATTGACTCAGAGCAGAAAACGAGTAGCTGCTTGAGAGCTAGCGTCAGTAACCCGCCTGTCCGCCTCATCGTCATCCTGGGTTTGGTCGGAGGTGAGCATCAGGACTACAAAATGCTTGGAGCACATGTAACCCTTCAACTGTTCCCACCCAGCCTCGGTCCCAGTTCAGCTCAGCTCGATCAGAAATCTACCTCAACTAATGCGACGACGCTCGTCCCCCACAGAGCGCTGCATATTTCAGGCGTAGGGCCGTTGGTATTTGTTTACGGGACAGAGGTAGGCCGACAACTAGGGCTTACTACTTTAAATATTTGCACGAGGATGACAATGTCCTAAGGCCTTTTTAAGTCTCAAGCCAACCCCGCGTGCCAAGCGTCGAACTTGGCTATATTAGCCGACGAGCTCTCGTATAAAATCGTGAGCCGCTCGCCCAATATGAGCTGGATCTAAGCAGCTTTTGTCCCATTTTATCGCAGCCGACATCAGTATGTCGCTGTATAAATGCACATCTTGCAATGAGCTCATCCAGCCTATGAAAGCGCGTCTCTCATGTGCTTCTTGCGCGCCCCGCATAACCCTATGCGCCAACTGCTACGTTGTACAGAATTATCCTTCACAGCATCAGGACGACCCCTCGCATGCAGTCTCGCTACACGCACACAGCGGGTTCCTCCCTGTCCCTCCACCACCTCCACCACGAGCGCAGTCTGTCCGAAGCCCACATTGTCCTCCCCGGCGCCGTCCTCTTTCTGTTTCATACGGAGACAGCGATATCCCGCCGAGGAAACCTCCACGTCCTACAAATCCAAAACCAAGAAGTGAAGAACCGGTGGAGGATACAGGTCCAGTAACGCCGATGTCGACGAGGCCGGCATTTCAGGGTCCGCCACCAGAAACAAAAAGTGAAGCGGAAGCGGCAGAAACTGTCCCGGCTATTCCGCACGCATCGAGACCAGTATTGCAAAGTCCGCCGCTGGAAAGCACTGGGCCACCTCCTAGTTCACCATATCCATATTCATCTACAAGCTGGATCCCGCTCTTCACCGAGGACATGAAACCCTCGGCTTCCTTCACGAGGTTAATCGAAGAGCTCTTCAGCCACCTCGACCCGCAGCGCACCGGGTATCTCAGTCCAGAAGCCGTCTCTGAGTACGTAGATGTGTGTGGCGCACCACCTAGCCACAATGTTTGTATGTATATCCATAGTTCTCTTCCCACCATCACACGACCAACCAGGTAACAATCTAACACGCGGAACAGGGAAAACCAGCCGCGCCAAAAACCCACAATACGGCTATGACATGGCCGACCGCGAACTAGCCGACCACTTCACAGCATACGCCGTCGACTTCGCCCTCCGCCCACGCACTCCACCCACAACGCCTGTCAAGTCCCCCCTAGACCCTCTGTCCTACCTTCCCGCCGCTCAGCGCTCTGCCATGGCCGCATTCATGCCCGCCCAATCCACATCCGCGAACACCCTCTCTGGAGGACGAAAACCCATGCTCTCATTCCGAGGCTGGGCGGACCTTACAATCTGCAGTGTGCTTCTGAACCCCTCTGCGTCATGCGGGCAGCTCAATCGCGCTATGCAAGCGTTCCAGCTGCCGATTTGGAGAGAGTGGGGTGATATTCCTCGGGATATGTTACCGCTTGCACCGTATCAGCCGGAGGTTGAGAGGGTGAGGGTATTGCTTGAGGGGGCGAGACTTAATGCGGAGCAGGAGGTTGATGCAGTGCATGCGAGGTTGAAGCTGGAGCAGAGGGGACAGGAGAATGCGTTGGATTTGTTGGATGATCGGGTTTGGGTCCGTTGGTAGTCAGCCAACGCCATAGTATGATAAGGGAAAGGTTCGTGTTTTTCAAGGTTAACCTATTATTTGGAGTGATATTGGGCCATGAGTTACCTTGAGGCTCTCTTTGCACGTATATCCTTCTATAGTGACAATATGTGTGCTCATAGTTAAAGGTTACACAAAACAACACTGACTTGCATCTCGGCACATGGATATGAATCCCTTGAACAAAGTACAGCAGGGGTATCTCAGCCAGCCAATTGTGGTATTGCTTTTGCGTGGGTGAGATTTCGGGCTTCCTGTCTTGCACTCAGATGAGGACTCATATGTCCACCAAATGCACAGTAAGGTGTGATCGTTGTATGGGAGTCCAAGTTCAGCCACCCACCAGCTGGTAGATACATCATTAATGGTAGGGAAGTGAACCTGGTGAGCCGGAGTCATTGATGCTCCGGGAAGCGGTTTGCTGGCGATCATGCAGGTGGCATCAAGTTGGAACCATATACCGATTACGTGCATGAATGGCCCAGAATGCTATTTTTTTATTTTGTTACGCATTTTGTCAGCTGATGCTTTGACGCACGATACTCGCTGCCCTACATAAATGCTTTGCTGTTCCTCAGCCGGCTTGGAGATGCTCAAATTCGAACAACATAGATAATTAAACCGACCTTCGTAGAAACCATAACATGGAGGTTACACTTACTTCTGACGGGTGAATAGATACTGATTCATCCAAGATTGTATCAGTCGCCGAACGAGCCAGTCCCTGTCAGGAAACAGGAGAAGACAAACTGGTCTCATCTGCACCGTCAGAAGTTCCACGATCACCAACCCCTAACGGCACTTGATGGCATGGATGCAAGTCGCTGGAGTTGGTCTCATGTTAAATTGCTGGTCAGTATAACCCCCCTCATAGAAGCATGATCAATTTTAACAAACCTCCGCTATATCAGGGGGTATTGTCAATGCCTACGGGTTCCTCCAACCCCATTACAAAGTCCATCTACCGAAGAACGAAATCTCTTCTAACATAGCAGGGATTGGCTCAATCCAAGCATTTCTATTTCTATTCGTGGGAGGCCTAACAGGACCTCTATACGACTATAGGTTCTTCCGCCTTCAGCTAGCGGCCGGGACCTTTGATGATCGGAATGTTGATGGTGAGTCTGTGTCGGGGATATTGGCAATTCATTCTCGCGCAGGGACTCCTTGTAGGACTAGGTGGAGATATCCTGAACAGTATGCAGCAGGCAAGGTCGGCCTCTTGAACATATACATATAATACCAACATGTATACACAGGAGCAAACCTAATTACTTAACATTTATCCAAGTCAAAATTAATATTGTAGACAGGAATTTAAAGGCACCCGGGAATCTTTTTCTAGCGCAATTTGCTCAGTCTGAACGAATATATGATCTCCTCTTGGTCACCATATATATGAGATAGAAAGACCGGGGTAGTAGACTA